AAACCGTTATTTAACTCCTCTCTGTAAAACTTCTCTCTGTTAAATTTTAATCCCTACCTTCACCTTTAGGCCTGCCTGTTCTTCTTTCTTCTGTTACCCCTCTCTAAAACTTTTATTTCCTTCTCACACTTGTCTCCCACTCCCATACATATACACTCACTAAAATTTTATGTTTTGTAACCGGAGTTATTTTTTCCGATTTCTTTTTGAATTTGTAAGTCCGATGAATTGGATCGTAATTACGATTCCATTGTAATAAAATATAACCATGGAATATTAGTGTTTAAGCCGTTTTATTATATATATATATATATATATATATATATATATATATATATATATATATATATAGTCTTAAGATGTTCTATATTTATGCGATAATTAAATATCAGAGATAGAGCGTGTGTAAATATAAAAAGTGAACATGGAAGTCAACACTTAGATTTACAGTCTGTTTCATGCTAGATGCGATCGTCACGAGTGATGTTATACATATATATATATATATATTATATATTTTCTATATATATATATATATATATATATATATATATATATATATATATATATATATAGTGAACATTTAGTCAACACTTAGATCGACAGTCTGTTTCATGCTAGATACAATGGTGGCCTTATTCTAGCATTTGGATTACAGATATTTCGTATATTCATTTTTTAATATATATATATATATATATATATATATATATATATATTACTATAGGAGATTAGAAAATATATAATCCAATATATATATATATATATATATATATATATTTATTTTATTATATGAGATTATAATAAAAACATTTATATCCCTATTTAACAAAAGCTTTCATTTTCAATATATCTATCAGATCAAGACATTCAATTGAAAGTTACACCTGACTTTCAAATGGTATAATAAAAATTCATTTTGCTATACTTTGTATTGAGCATTTTTTAAAAAGTAAATGATACCCAAATTTTCTTTCCCTTACTTGAGCGTATATATATATATATATATATATATATATATATATATATATATAGTCATCCAAAGACAGGCTATTTTGTTGTCTCACAGCTCTTCATGTGCGGCTAGATGTCGATTGCTTCAAGACGTGATCGAAACTCGACCGATTGGGCATCAATCAGAGATCCTATCCCTAAGCCGTCGGCGCACAGCAGAGAGAAAGGGAGATTTTACCATCTTTTTGTATACGAAATAGACCAGCGGCGAAGAGTAATGCATTCATAAGCAACCACTGTTTTATTAATTTATATATATATATATATATATATATATATATATATGTATATAACGAACGGAAGGATTACATTGATTTAAAAACAGTGCTCAATACATAAATTAAAGCCGATAAATATATATATATATATATATATATATATATATATATATATTAAATTTATTTTTCTATTTAAAAATATGGTTCCATCACTAAATGGACTTACCATGTTTCAAAAACAGAAGTCAAAAACTTCAAATTCTATTATAGAAATTAAATTAAAGACTCTAGTTCTTTTTCATTTTCAAGCGAATTTTGGAATATTTATGCTCTGTGGATTTGCATTTAGCACTGTTTTGTAAAAATAAAAAATATCAGTAATAACACCAGATTATATAAGCTTACTGTTCTTTTCTTCATTAATATATATATATATATATATATATATATATATATATATATATATATATTAATAAAAAAAAGAAAGGAAGGTACATAAATTTCCTGTTTTTTTTTTTTTTTTTTTGTTTTTTTTTAAACAATGCTAATGTAAATTTTCTTTACTTAAATATTATAAATTAACTGATTTAAAATATGGTTTCTTCGCTACATCTTTGTTACCATGAAACAGAACTAATCCTTTTGATTTAATTATATAATTGAATTCTAAATTTTAGTTTCTGATTTTGAAACATGGTAAATGTTGATTTGTGAACCATATTTTTAAATCAGTTTTTAATATAATTATATTGTGTGTGTGTGTGTGTGTGTGTGTGTGTGTTTGTGTACACTATGTGTGTGTTTTTGTGTGTATGTATGCATTTTCTTTAATAAACAAATATTTCTTAAGATCATTACCATTACTAACGACAGAAATTTTGTGTTAATCAATTTTAATGATCGACTTTTCCAAATTACGAACAAACCTTCTCAGACAAGAATTCCGTTTGAAATTGCCCACAGTTCATATCGGAAAAATGTGCAAGATATATGATTCAAGCTTCTGGGCTTTCTAAAGTCATCGTCAGTGAAGGAATGTACAACTAGCGAGTTTTGTACAACCAGTGAGTGATGCAACGTAGGCAAAGGATGTTGTCACGTAAGCTGTTGTATTCTGGTACACTTGTATGTCTTTTAGTCTAAACTGGTGTGTCTATAAACTCTTCAGTCGATCCATAGTTGTACGGAGAATAATTTAAGTCCAATGTTCTTACTATTGAGCTACACCCATAAGTAATTTGTGCCGATGTCAATTCATATAATATCCAATTTTTTTTTTTATTATTAATTTTGCTTATATAAATATATAAAGAATTCTGCCAATATTAATAGCTTGAACCACTTCTATGATTCGGCAGGCGTGACGCGATATTTTTTTGATAATCTTTTGGCAGTTAAATGACCCCCTAAAAGAATATTAACAGCATTATAAAAATAAGAAATACACGCTGCTGGCTTTGATATTAAATCTTCTAAATCCGAAGACACAGTGAAAACTGATGCCAAAGGTCATACGTAAGACATCACTGAAATATTTCAAGCGATCAGCAAATTATGATGAAATCAAGAAAATGGCCCTTCGTCTGTCAGAAAGCCTCCGACAGATCTGATCAGTCTGGCAATATAATCTTCTTCTTAAAGAAGATCTGACTCAGGATCTGGTATTTTTGGCTTCTTCTTTCCTGGACTTCTTTTTAAAAAAGTTCTTCAACCTTCTTCTTCTTCTTTATGTCGTGTCCCTTCAGGATGTTGGTGATCATAGCTTTGTATCTCTTAATGTCACAATTTCCTGGACTTTGTTCCTCCATCCATTTATTCTTCTTTAAATGTCTCTTTATTATCTCAAATCTCCAATTTCTTTTTTAATAAATCCTTTATGAATATACTCCATAAATTCTAAGCTAATTCTCCTTCTCTGTGTAGGGTCCCTTCAGAATGTTGGTGATCATGGCTCTCCAAACTTTCCTGGTCTTAGTAGCTCTTAATAAATTTTGTCTTTTTATTATCTCTCCTAAACTTTGTTCCTCCATACATTTACTCAAGTTAATTCTACTTCTATGTGTCGTGTCACCTCCAGGATGTCGGTGACCATGGCTCTCCACAATTTCCTGATCATTGTAGGTCTTAATAAATGTTGTCTTTTTATTATCTCGCCTAAACCTTATTGCTCCTTCAATTTACTCAAGGTAATTCTCCTTCTATGTGTCGTGTCCCTTCAGAATGTTGGCAATCATGGCTCTCCACACTTTCCTGGACTTTGTAGCTCTTGAAATATTTTGTCTTTTTATTATCTCTCCTAAACTTTGTTCCTCCATACATTTACTCAAGTTAATTCTTCTTCTTGTCCCTTCAGGATGTTGGCGATCATGGCTCTCCACACTTTCCTTCGTAGCTCTTAATACATTTTTTGTTATCTCTACTAAACCTTAAATGACGACCATTTACTCAAGCTCGCTAGGCTTACGGCCATATCACTCTGAAACTCCGGTTCTCGTACGATCTAAAAAAGTTAAGCAACGTCGAGCTTAGTCAGTACCTAGATGGGTGACCACTTGGGAATACTAGGTACTGTAAGCTTGGTTGTGCGGGTGGTGTAATGCATAACAGAATTGTCAATCAGGGGGCCGAGTTTCAATTCCCGCATGGTATGAAGGTATGAATCAATATTTTCTCCCCCAGATATGGGTTAATTAATAAGAGTTGTATTACTAAATCATTACTATCTTAAGGAAAAAAATCTTACGTTCTAAAAATATTTTCTGGCTTTAAATAACCTCTAAAGGATAGATAAGCCGTAGAAAACAAATCAATCTACGTCAATAAATTTTGTCTTTTTGTTATGCTTTAATTTGAATGAATACATTATATATATATATATATATATATATATATATATATATATATATATATATATATAAGTATATATCAATTGATTTTATACGTGTAAAATTCCAATAACCTACAAATACTATTCTCAAAATTCAGAGCAGAACAAATATAATTTATTCGAAAACTATAACACAAATATGTTATAAAATCACTACAAAAATAGCCATTTTGTTTCAACACGTCTGGTGTCTTATCAAGTGATGGTGTTGAACGTATAATAAAGGGTTTTAAAATGTTAAAATCGGCCAAACACCCCTCGCTATGGAAAACGCCATTACATAAGATGCAATGACCAATCAAAATACAAGTATCTATAAAACAACTTGTGTTTGTATATATATATATATATATATATATATATATATATATATATATATTGATGCATGTTTCATTAAATAATATAGACAAGTTTTGTTTATTTATTTTAAGTAAGTTCCTTTCATATTGTCTGATAAGCTTAATAACATTATCATTGAAAGGCGAAAGGAAATCACCATATTGATACTGGTTTAAATCCAATCTAAGCTTTCGGCTTACATAAGCCATTATCAAAGTTGACATTTACATTTCAATATATCAAACAATACATGGACGAAACAATGATGATAGTCTGTTTTTGTTGCACGAAAAATTTCACAGCAAGACAATGTCGTGTATCCGAGACGCGGAAGCGAAAATCGCATTGCAGCTCATGACGTAACACATGACCACGCGAGAGTGAAAACGGGAAGTATTAAGTATGGGAAGCCGTTGGTATTAACCAATGGCTTCAGTTATCAATTATAGGCATTTAATAATATTTGTGGAGATTTCATAATTTATTTCTTCAGGCTGGGTTTCAACAGTTTTATGTATATAGCTTCAAGAATTTTTAGGTTTTGTTTATTGGTTTCATGTTTAAGTATAGTTGTGTTTTCAACGAGGATATTCCGGAATGGTGTTATTTGTTATGTTGTCTTAAATGCCTAAAAAATTAAGTTATCATTCAAATGTATCTATAACACAATGAAAAAGAAGTTTGAGGTGACCAGCATAAATATTATTTAATCCATTATCTATATTATTCGGACTATTAATTGTTGTTGTTTTTTTGAAATCATATATATATTGTATATATATATTTATATATAATATATATATATATATATATATAAAATATATATATATATATATATATATATATATATATTCATATTTAAGAATGAATTCTTTATGTACCTAATTATTCACTGTTAGTCGTCATATTTATAAACAAAGATCAAGTTCAAATTTGCCAAATTGGTTACAGGATTTTAAACAGTGTGGAATACCCGAACAGTGGAGAAAATCACATCCATTAAACATGGCAAAAGAACTAGAACAGCCTACCCCATCGAGCGAAATGAAGTGTTAATTTCGACGTTCCAACCACTGAAGAAGGCCGGAGCGTACAACGGCCGAAAGGTTAAAATAAATATGGGGACAAAGATGAGGAAAATAGTCCGAATAATATAAATAGTATATATATATATATATATATATATATATATATATATATATATATAACTGAAATTCATGTTGAATTTTATATGTTCTAATGTTAATTATGTTTTAATGAAAATGTCCTGATGATGGTCTAAAATAGACCAAAACGTCCGACGTTGACTTTATACTAACATTAATACAGCATAATTGCATATTAAGATTTTTGTTTGTTTTTTTCTGTATATTTTTCTTCATACTGTCGGATCTATATCCATATATTTGATCTATATCCATATATTATATATATATATATATATATATATATATATATATATAAACACAAATATGTTCTGAGTTGATAGCTTTCATGTTTTATTTGGACGGGAAAAAGCTCGATCAAGTAATAGCTGACTAGTTGTTTCCAGAATCGGTCGCTTGCTGGTTCATTAGCCAATCCCTATTGCATCCGACAGGCACGGTTTTTGCGTTTCTTCAAACTCTACAGTGGCGACCGGTGGTTTATAGTGCAGCTATGCTAAGCGGAACTTTGTAACAGTTTCTGAGAGAAAGCACACAAACATGCGTGATCATTAGTTGAACAAGGTCAAAAAATTCAACGCGTCTTCAGGACTTCGGCGCGGTGTAGTGGTTAGCAAGCTTGTCTCGCTAGATTAATTACAATTGATTGAGTTCGATTCTCATTGAGTGCTCCATGCTTTCGGCGTTGTGCCACAAGTAAGCCACGCTTACTAAATCGCCACTCAACGCCTCGGTCACAATGACTTCGCTCTGGATCAACTATCGACATTGTACTTAGCTATTTCAAAAGGAAACGCGTGGTACCTAAATGCCAGTCTAGTAACGCTCTAAAATTCATGTATTCGGGGAAAAAATCGTCAGAGCACTTAACATGAAATATTTATAAAAAAAAAAAAAAAGAAAAGAAAATAGAGGGTATTTTTTTTTTTAAATGGAGGTAAAATTAATCGGAAGCGAAATCGTGACTCAGACCAGCTTGATACGAGAAATAAATAAATCCGACTGAATAACCCCAGAGGAGAGCGTCACATTTGTCAGAGGCTCGCGGTAATATTCCTTTTGATCGGTCGCCAATGTCTCAATATAGTCAAAATATTTGGATTCTCTTTGACAAATTGGATATATAGTAGGACTCCTAGTTACAAAACTCCCGACCTAGTACTATTCGTGGTTACGACGCAGTCTTCATTAATCTTGTTTCGACTTACGTCGTTTGCCTTGAACATAAGACAGCGTGGCTCGGTTATTGGTTGTATGCCATATTGGATTCTTGTGCATTTGTGGAAACTTATCGCCTTTCGTCATGGCTTCCAAGTTAGACCATGAATACCATGATTATACTTACTCTAACACCTGAATCAAAATAAAAAAAACCGCAAACATCGAAGAGACATTGAGAACTTGATTTCACTACAGTCGCCATCAAAAGAATAAAGTTCCGTAGTAGAAGCCAAATTTGCTTCTCATTTGCTTACATACGAACATACACCCACATAAAATACACACAAACATGCAACCTGTTAACCGCAACAAAACATAAGATGTTGTCGCTTGCAGTCCTCAAAAGCAGCAGCAAATCTAGGTAAGAAAGAAAAACAAGTGAAGTAATCATATTTCCAGTTCCTTTACTCTTAGCATCATGGGAAAATGTATATCCTTTTCTTTTGCATTAATATTATTTTATTTATCGATTTTATTAAAAAAAATTTCCCACATATTCGTCATTCCATCTACGGAGAACTAATGGCATCACTGGCAATAAATACACAAGCAGATTAGCACAATTTCATTTCATTATATGTATTATTTTAATTTTATTTCATTATATATATTATATTTATGTAATCTATGTGTTTTTAGTCCTAATTATGTTAAGATATGCCAAAGAAATGTGTTGTTATGTCTTAAATTATTACTTTACTATTGCGTTAACATAGTGAAGTGAGATAAGTAATTGTTAGTACGTCCCGACTTACATGGAAAATTTATTTTTTATTTTTAAATGCATTGTTTTTAACGGAACAAAGTCGTAAGTCGAGAACCCTCTGTATTGTTGTCAAATATTGATTCCTTTTTTTTTTTTTTTTTTGTTTGGAAAGGAAAATGACTGAAAATGATAAAATAAGGCCCCGAATTTTTCTTTTAATTTGTTTGAAGTGGATATTTACGTAAATACGGTTAAATACTTAACTCAGCTTCAGGTCACTGTCGCAACGTTAGTATCGCTAGATTTTGAGACATCTTTCTAAAATATTTAATTCTAGAATTTTTATGCAACACGCAGATGCGTGTTGTAATCCTCACAGTATTTAGTATTGTTGATATTATCACTAACTATTTTTGTCAAGATTTACAAACTCTACATTTTGTTCAATTTCGGAAACCAGTCGATAAAATTTGAATAAGCTGATTTGCTTGGAAAAATACTTTGACAAAAACGCTAATTCGCGGCTTAATAATTTCATTAATGTAATTTAATTTCATAGGACTTCATGGTAAACATTTTTTTTAAGAAAATCTCTTTTCTTCCTTTTTTTTCCATTTTAACAGGGAATAGTAACTTCTTATAATAACTTCTTATGATTTCTTACTCTTGAGCATGCAACATACATCTAGTCATGCGTAAATATTTCTTTCTGTAGCCAAATTCTAACTTTTTGAAGGGTTTGACCTTGTATATAGTTCTCGCAAACGCATGGCGAACTGGAAACTGGATTCTTGTATATAAAAACTTAAAAGATACGTAAAAAAAAACAATATTTAAGGAAATGACGTTTGAGCGCTTTTTTATATAATCTTTAAGTACTTAAATTATCTTTTAACAGGTAAAGTGTCTGTAGAACAACAATAAAGGTGTTGACAGATTTTATCATCCTTTGTTCAGTGAACTAATGCTGACAAGTGATAGTGGTAAGAGTGTAAACAGCAACAGCCTTTGTTTTAAAAACACATTTCCCTGTTGAAAAAAAGTATTATTTACTTTAAGTTTAAACTTAAAGTAAATAATACTTTTTTTCAAATCAGGTTAATTAAATCAGCTAATATTTCTCAAATAAAGTTTAAGAAAAGTATTTTTTTTTTTAGGAATCTTTTTTAAAACCGAGAAAGAACTCTTTTGTCTGTCCAGGGCATTTTATTGTTTGTACTATCCAAACGTTCATGCTTGTTTTTTTAGAAAAAATTATTTCAAAGGCAAAATTTTATTTGGCAAATAGAATTACTGATATACAGATGAGTTTTTAAAGCTTCAATCTTCTGTGAATTTGCTCATTTAATTCATATCTGCTCATGGCGTATCAAATGCAAACAAATGACGTCACACATTTATTTGTCTGCATTTGATACGCCATGATTTATGAAAATGGCCATCAGAGATCATAATCATCACCTCAATTTTTAAAGTAAATTCGACCTTGTTAACAGAGTTTTAACTAATAAAAACGTACAAATCATAAGTTATTTACCCTATGCTCTGGGCATCACATAATGATGCATAGTTTTTTATTATGTGAAACACTATATATGAGCACATTCTATTTGCCAAATAAGTTGAATTGCCTTGCATTAGTTATAATCTCAAAACAAGCAAGCGTTCTGTGGTGACATATGATGCGCAAAATATTAGATTAGGTTGAATTGTTTTGTAAAATCAATTCTATTGTATTGTAATTAATTCCGTAGAACAACAATAAAGGTGTTGACAGAATTTACCATCCCTTTTAAGTGATATATGAGTGACAATTGACAGCGGCCATTGTTTTAAAAACACATTTCTCTGTTATTTTAAACTTAAAGTAAATAATATATTTCTCAAATCAGATTAATTATACTTTAAATAAGCTAATATTTCTCAAATAAAGTTTCAGAAAAGTATATTTTTTACTTTTGGAAGATTTTTAAAACCGAGAATTAACTGTTTGTCTGTCCAGGGCATTTTCGTGTGTACTAACCAAACGTTCATGCTTCTTTTAGATTTATAACTATTGCAAGGTAACTCATCTTATTTGCCACATAGAATCTGCTGATATATAGTTTCACATAATGAAAACGAAAAAATCATAAGTTATTTACCCTACGCTCTGTGCTTCACATCATGACGCACAGTATTTTTATTATGTGAAACACTATCTATGAGCAGATTCTATTTACCAAATAAGTTGGGTTGCCTTGTAGTAGTTATAAATCTGAAAACAGACAAGCGTCTTGTGGTCAAATATGATGCACAAAATATTAGATTAGGCATTTCCTCAGACGTCCTGCTTAATAGTACACACATTTCTTGAGCGTCTTTAGTTTTACCATTCTTTTAGAATCAAGGCTCGTGTACACCACATATAATCCGTAGGACAGGCAAAGGGTTAAGGAAACTTTTTGTGTCTTGCTTGATGACGAAAATACATTTAGACAAATTCGAGAGCGCAGTTTTTGTTCCAGTTACAAGATCCTAATATTCAAGTTCGTCGAAGCCTTGGCAATGCCAAACAATATAATATCAGTTACAGCCGAAAATTCTCACACCTTCGATGGGTCCCGTATCATCCTACTCCCCTCATAGCAGAAATGCTGACAAATCTCCTGTGGTTTGAGACACAGTCGTATAGAATGCAAAGATAGCAGCAAAAACATGCTGTTTCCTTTGACATACAATCTTCTATAAGAAGCTGATGCCGCGTATTATGCGTAAAAAATCAGTAGAATAATTTCAGTGAATAATGAATTATGAAATATTTCTCAAATTTTTAATTTTATTTTTATTTGTTTAAATCCGTCAAAATAGCCCACCATGACCAGGCCCGTGTACAGGGAGGCAGCCACTTCAAAAAGCATTCTCCTCGACGTGTGAAATAATGTTTTAGTGTACAAAGTCGCATTCGCAGTTCCCCTAACTTAAAGACCGACCTTAGCTTCAAACAATAGTAACGGACCTGCCCAATACATCTTGAGAAGTGGGAGCGCTTCGACGTGGTGTAATGGTAGAACAGTTAATGACTGAGTAATAAATTTCGCTAGTAGAGAGAGAGAGAGAGAGAGAGAGAGAGAGAGAGGGGAGAGAGAGAGGGAGAGAGAGAGAGAGAGAGAGAGAACGTCTGGAGAAATAAGTCAGAACTTGTGAGTGATACCCTCCTATGGCACCCATTGCGCGGCAAAAGATCGGTTAGAAGACCTCATCACATCTACATTGATCAACTTGTAGATGACTGTGGATGCCATCTAAAGGACCTGCCGACAGCGATGTCTGACAGAGATGGTTGGAAGGAACCTGTCAAGAGAATCCGAGAAGAATTCTCAACCTGAAGAAGAAGAAGAATAAGTATCTGATAAACTTAACATGTGAGTGATACCCTCCTATGGAACACATTGCGCGTCAAAAGATCGGTTAGAAGACCTCATCACACCTACATTGACCAACTTGTAGATGACTTTGGATGCCATCTGGAGGACCTGCCGACGGCGATGTCTGACAGAGATGGTTGGAAGGAACAAGTGAGGAGAATCCGTGAAGAATTCTCAACCTGATGATGGTGATATATGACACTTTTTTCATGGCTAACTTAAAATCCCGTAAGATTTAATTTCTTCTTCCTTTCCACATTATGTGTCCCAGAAATTTATGATTCTATGCACAAGTGTTCGTTTTCCTATTATACTTAATTTTTGGAGCATATTTTAATTTTCTTTATTTTCTGCTTTTGCTTACCTGAAGTTGTATTTATCAACTTTATATTTTCTACTCCGGCCATTTTTTTTCAATTGATAACTTAGGCGTTAGTACTGACAAAAAAAAAAAGTCTGTATAAATGTATTGCGTTAAATAATGACTTCCTAATCTCCAAGAATTTTAGGGTTAAATCCTGATATATATTTTCATTTTTTGTTTCTGCTATCTGCTTCTAAAATTAACAAACTTTAATAAACGATATTTTTTAATACATGAATACTATATATATATATATATATATATATATATATTTTTTTTTTTTTTTTTTAACATACAACGTGTGTTAGCACGTGTAATACCCTGTCTTCATCAGCCGCCGACCAGGGGTGATCTCACGGTTTCGGTGGCTATGGCGGGACCGCCACCCCAGCGCCACCAGCAGCGTTTGCCACCAGGCAGGGTATGAAGATAAGCTAACTAATTGTTCCTTTAAGTAAAATCTATCTGCAATGAAAGTTTCTTGAATATATATATTTAATATATATATTTAAGCATTTCACCCCTAGCAAGGCGGAAAGCCACTGGTATGCAAGGGGTTACAGGGGGTTTGGAGCGAGAGCAGGTAGGAATGATAGAGGAAATGATGAGGAGAAGGATAGTGGATAGATCAAGGCAACTGGAGATGTCGATTGACATCACATTTGAATAGTTGGAGATTAAAACTATCAGGGATACAGGAACAGGGAAGGGAGTTCTACAGGCGAGAGGTGCGAGACATGAAGCTATTGGAGCAGAAGAGACGGCTACATTTAATAGCTTCGACAGTGAAAGGGTGAGAGCGGGATGCCACCCTCGTAGGACGCTTGAATTCGCGACGTCTTGGAACCAGCGAAAACAGCTCATCGGAGCAATTACCATGAAAGTATTTGTAAAAAAGACAGAGAGAGGCGACGTCACGTCTGTGAGTGAGCGACTGCAGACGAGATGCCAGATCAGGGCCAATTATATTGCATATCCGTCTCTGGATCTTATCAAGAACCCCGAGAAAAACAGAAAGGGCTCCAGACCATATATATCTATATATATATATATATATATATGAAGAAATATAGTTTTAGGGTGTGCTTTGTTTATGGAATAAAAGTGCCAAATTTCCTCAGAGATAGAGATTCTGTGAATATAAATATAAAAGTGAATATTGAAGTCAATTTTCTCAGAAGCGACAGAATGTTTGAAGCCAACGCGGAACAGACGATTTTTTCTAGCCTGAAATGGCCTGAGCCTGAAAACATTCATATATATATATATATATATATATATATATATATATATATATATATATATATATATATATATATACACACTGAAGTTAGCCACACCAAAAAAAAAATCTTAATGAAGGGATAATAATTTATTATTAAAATAGTATACAAAAGTATTTGTCAGGCTATTATGTGCCATGTGTGATACACGCTTAGGCGATCATGTATCTTTCGATACATTGACTCATGAGGCAGATTTTTTTCCCGCAGTAGGTTGCCATTTATTTCTGCGGTAGACAAGTTGACATCCAAGGTTAGAGAATCCGGGCTGTCCTGCTATTTGTCCATAGCTGGGCGGGAAGAGAGGAGAATTCATACCTTCCCCAAGGTTTTTAGCACGTAAATGAATGTAACGGATTCGACTGGAATTCGAACTCGGCTCTCCGATTCCTCAATCCGAGCCGCTATCCATCACTCCACCGTGTATCACGGCGTTTAAAATTTAAGGCACCTTTCGACCGAAACTTCTTCAGAAATATATGATCACCGGCAAAGTAGTTGAAAAATTATTATTAACAACTTATATGAAACGATAGTAAACGACCGAATTTAGTGAAGAAGGAAATAAAATTTTATTTTCTTCCAATTTTATCGACTGAAACTAAAATTAGGGCCAATGCTGTTTTAACTCAGTTTGAATGCTAAATTTAGGGATGTTAATATTATTAATAAAGACTCCATTTTTCTTAAAATGAAAATGGTCCGTGCCTTGTAAAGACAGACAGAATTTTCTCTCTCTCTTTGACTCTCAAATTGTCTCTCTACACATAATATATATATATATATATATATATATATATATATATATATAAATATTCCGTATTCGCGTGGACTAGGAACCCTTAAAGAAAAAAAAAATCCGCCGATATATAAAAATGTTTTACTAAAAAACTTATAAGTACCTATTTTTGATTATTAAAACCCATATGCCTTTAAACTTTTCATTCTAATCACTTTAGAAACATTTCAAATCCTTTTTAAAAATTTTTTTTAAAAATATTGGTGTCCATACAACTTAGCGTAAATTTTTTTTATACGTACAATAACCGTTTTTTCAATTATTTGGTGACCGATACAGCAATTGGAAATACTGTAAGCACAGACTATTGAATAGGGGAATGAGGATATATATATATATATATATATATATATATATATATATATATATATATATATATATATATATATAAATTAGGAATTTTGCAAATTTTGATGAATGGAAAAACGTTTTATTAAAACTATATTTGATTACGCGTTTGGTCATACGACGATTCATCAAATTTCAATGTTTAATAGAATTCATACAAATATAAATTTGACACTTAGTTGATTGATGTTATCTTCAGCATTCCGGCTCTAGATTTTTTTTAGATTGATCCTCCAATATCCCAAAATCGTATACTCATCATCATGATATAGAACAAGTATATACACACACACACACACACACACACACACACACACACACACACACACACACACACACACATACACATATATATATATATATATATATTGGTATTCATCAGAACTTTAACATTATTAGAAAAATGAAATGATGATGATGATGATGATATATTGTTTATTATTATTATTATTTCTTTCAACTTTTTTCACAGTTACTAGGTTTTTTCTGTATTAGTATATATTTGTTTTTGTACAACTGACGCGAAGATCGTTTTATTATTATTTTTTTTTAATTTCTTTTTCTGCTTAGCTAAAGTTATATTTATCAACTTTAAAAATTTCTACTCTCGTTCAATTTTATCAGTTGATAGTTTAGGCGTTAATTCTGTCAAAAGGGCAGAATAAACGATTTTATGTTAAATAATGTCTTCATAATCTCCGAATATTTTAGTCTTAAATCCCAATTTATAGTTTCATTCTTTTTATATCTGCCATCTTTTTTTCCTAAATTAAAAAAGATGTTTCGATTTTTGTTTTCATTATTTATCAACGACTATTTCGTAATATATATGTATATATTTTACTGTATTAGTTGTTGTTTTCGTACACGTCTTAAAGGCCGTTAATCTTCCTTTTACTTTCTGTTTTGCTTATCTAAAGTTAGATTTATCAACTTTTTCCCACTGAGCTTTCTTTTATTTTATCAATTGATACTTTACGCGTTAGTAGTGTCAAAAAGGCAGTATAAATTATTTTATGTTAAATAATGACTTCATAATCTCCGAGTATTTTAGGCTTAAATCCCAATTGATATTTTTCATTTATTGTTTCTGCTCTCAATTCTCTAAAATTAGAAAAAAAATCGATATTTCTGCTTGTTTATTTATGTATTTTGTAATTTGTCTTGCTTTCTAATGTTTTTGTTCACCTAAAGTTTTATATATTTAAAAAGCGTTAATTTGTTTGAGGGCTTCTACAACACACAGTGAATATAATGTTTATATACGTACATTATATGTTCCAAAGGTTGTCATATAACCTCTATTGAATAATGGTAATGGTTACAAATAAAAAATTTATTCCATGGCATGCATCTCAAAGAGCCTCTAACAAATAAGTCCAGCTCGTAGCTGTAGAATGGACGAAGATGGAAAACTGTTCCAAAGGTTGTCATAGCCGTAGGTGATAGTGAGGACAAGCTCCTCGTGTCTATATCGTAGCCAGCGCTCCGAATAGCCTCTGACAACTAAGTCCAGCCCCAAATGGGCAAAGGCGGAAAGCTGGCGCCTCATAACCAGCTGCACGGCCAAATGGCGCTCGACAGTCCAGGAAGGCAGTCCATCTCGGTGAAAGAAAACCCTAATTTCAAATTCCCGATGCCTTGCAGTCATAACAAAACACAGAAAAAAAACTATGGAAGTCAATCCAGGCAGAAAACCCAGAGTATCTTTCGTGATCAATGCAATCCAATGTCAAGGAACATTGACATCTTCCTTTCAACTCCTTCGGACAAGCCATCCCCAAAAATAATGCCTTATATTCATTTGTCTTTTTGTCGGTATTTGTTTGGAGAGATTTCATGCATATAGTCTGGGAAACCATCGCGCAGGCCTGCACCCTGGAGAGGCACGACAGTCTCATCACCAAAAGATTGAATTTTTCTTTAAACAGGACCCTTTTTTTTTTAATGCCAGTTGAT